CTCCTCCTCCTCCTCCTCCTCCTCCTCCTCCTCCTCCTCCTCCTCTCCTTTTCGTCCTAACACACAGGGTCGGCGGCACGGGCCGTTGTTCGCCGTTTTCGGCCTCTGAGCGCCCTCGCTGGCCTCGGGACAACAAAGCAAACGGCTCGGAATGAAAAAGTTGTCCCCAGGAAGGGAGAGGCGGGGAGCCTAAGCCATTTTACCACCCTTCCCCCCTCACCCATCTCACCCGTCTCACCGCTCGCTTGACCCTGTAACCTGTAACACCCCCTCTTCTCCCCTGTTTTCCCGTCCCTCACCCCCGCCGCCGATCCTGCTCTTCAGCAGAGACGGCGGGGAGGAGGAGGAGGAGGAGGAGGAGGAGGAGGAAACAGGAGGAGGAGTAGGAGGAGAAAGGAGGAGGAGGAGGAAGAGAGGAGAGGAGAGGACGAGGCGCCGGAGGAGGAGCAGGCCGAGCGGCGGACGTTCCTGGGCGGCGCCGTCGGCTGGACGGCGCCGCAGGCCCGCCCCGCCCACGAGGGCGGCGCTTGCAGACGCGGGGCGTGGACGGGCGGCGGAGGCCACCGCGGCGTTGGTGCTGCGCTCGGCTGGGCCCCGTGGCTCGACCTCGCGTTGGGTGCCTCGTGCCGCCTGCCTCCTCTGCCTGTCGTCGCCCCCGTCGGCCCCACAGCCGGCCGCACGCTAGCCGCTTACGTCAAGCCTCTCCCTGCCCTCCGATGCGGTGGGGCAGTGGGTCCGATGGCTGTAACGAACACGACGGTCAAGGGCCACCAGCACCAGCACCAGAGGGGGGGGGGGTCGGGCCTCTTCGTGCGCGTGCGCGTGGGCGCCAGCCTCCTGGAGCCTTCGGGGGAAGTGAAGCTTGCTTCGCGTATCTTTCCTGAGCGCGTTGAAGACGTCGACGGAAGCGCAGCAACTCGCGCGCGTGTCGCACGCGATGTCGCCTGTCTTCGGAGGCAAGATCTGGCGAGACCGTGCGTTAGCCCCTGCCCCGGCACGAACTGCATACCCATGATGGCGGCCCTCAGGCTCATCGCCTCCATGGCGATGAGGAGGCATGTGCGTGATCCCCTGCGGCATCAGAGCCTTAGGATTGCCTGTCCAACCTGCGAAACGCCCAACATTTCGGACACGTCCTACGTACATCGCAAGGGACACAACTCTGGCAATTACCGTAGCGTCGAAGCTTCCGCATTGCATGCGAAGTCCACCTTCCAAACCGCGGGAACCAGGGGGATTGTAGAAATAGATCAAAGAACATGATTAGTGGCGCTGCATTATGAGGCAAGGTCTTCCATTTGTTGGTGCATGGTGGCTCACGGTGACAAATCCGCGAACACGCAACATCGGGCCCGCGGTCAACTGTCCAGGTATAGCGTAGTGACGCCCGCTGGCGAGGGACTGCACCATGCAACATCGCATGTGCGTGTCCACCGCGCTGCTGTGCGGAGCATGAACACACATGCTCACCTTTTAAGCCAGCGGCGCAGAGGGTCCTCAAACGCGAGCAGCAGATGCCAGTGCTAATTGCGATCGAACGTTGTCGAAGGGGCAGCGAACGAAACGACGCACTCTGCACCATGCAGGCGGTGGGTGTGTTAGAGGAACAGTAACATGCTCACACGCACACGAGCACATGCGTTGGCGTCGTGGCCACGCGCGTCGCGACGCGGCGGGGTCCGTCGGAAGAGCGCCCCGGAACCTCCCAAACGAGGCCACAGAAACCGGGAGGGCCTAGTTACGCAGCCTGGCGAGGAGCCCAGGGCATCACGCAGATGGAGCCGCGCTGCGCGGGCGTCCCTCGAGGGGGAGGGGGCCGTAAAAGGGGGGCTGAGAGGGGAAACTGCCAAACGACACACCTACCTGGGGGGGGGTCAGCACTTGAGTGGGCCCCGGAAACGACAGGGCCGTTTTTGTTACCGTTTCCGCTTTACTTTTTGTTTGCCGGTTCCGCCGCGGTTTTTGTTGCTGGCTCCGTCGCCGTTTTTTCCAGTTCTGAGTCCGGCTCCAAAACGGCCCTGCTGATTTGCGGGGCCAACTAGGGGTCAGCAGGGCACCGCACGGAGGCGCACCGAGACGCGGACAGTGGCAGACCTCGTGGGATCCTCGGATTCTGCGCAGCCACACACACACACACACGCCCACACACACACACACACTCTCACACTCAAACACACACACACACACACTCGCACACTCAAACACATGTGTTGTCACGGCGACCGCGCGTTCCCCAACCCGGCGTCCTCATTAGCCAGAGGGCGCGAGAGCGCGCAAGCGTGCCGCGGGAGGGAGGCGGAACAAGAGACGACAGCAAGGGGAAAGCGGCGGGCAGGAACGGGGGGGGGGGGAAACCAAGTGGGGAAACAAACAGATGCCGCCCACCCCCCGCACACACACACACACATACACACATACAAACACTCACACGCACACACACATACGCTCACACACACATACAAACACACACACACACACTCTCTCACACACACGCACGCACGCACGCACGCACGCTCACGCACACAGGCAGAGAACACGCCTGCACCGCAGTCAGTGCCACAGGACAGTGTGGTCCAAGAACCCTGAAATCAGATTTGCACTGTCAAAGCGACGTGCTGTACCAATACAGAGAGCACTGCGGCTTGTCACCACTGACGGCCAGGGTGGCCAAGCACCTGCCACGCCTCCTCGCGCACAGGCGGGACAGGCAGCCCGCCCGGAGGTGCTGCTTTGCGTGCACTCCGCATGCCGATCGCTAGTTGATGAAGTTTTTTTTTTTGCCCAGCGCACGATCTTCGTTTTGTCTTGGTTTCCCAAAGCAAAATGACACCACAGATGAGGAAAAATACGCGTCTCAAATGCAACCTCTTTGTTGCACCGTACCGAGCACACCATGCCGCTGGACCCCTTTCAAAAGCAGGGAGCAACAGAACACGGGTGGCGCTACATATGAGGAATAAAACGCGTCTCAAATGCAACCTCCTCCTTGCACCATGCCGGGCACTCCATGCCCCTGGACCCCTTAACACAGCAGGGAACAGCAGCACACGGGTGGCACTACAGATGAGGAAAAATTTGCAACTCAAATGCAACCTCCTTGTTGCATTTGTCTGAGGGGGGGTGAGGCAGAAGCGGGGCGGGGAGGAAAGAGGAGGGGGGACAGCCAGACAAATTATTGAAATCAGTAGACCATCCCAGCTCAGATGTTCTATAAATCGAGCACGCTGATCTATAGAGAGCGTGCCAGAAAGCCCCAACGGCGGGAGACTGGCAAGGCACAGAGTTGCACCCCAATGGCAACTGATAGACTAAGTGGTGGATGAGGCTGTCCACACGGACGTGCCGCGTGGAGGCGGCTGGCCAGCGAAGGCAGCGCGGGCTAGCAACGGCTCCCGGGAGGGAGGGAGCGGCCGACAAGACCGGGCGGCACGTCAGTGGCCCACCCCCGCGTGCAACCGGCGCAAGTGCCAATTCATCGCACAAGAGCGGCCACCCCGGCGCACTCCGTGCCACGTCCCGCGGAGAGGAGGAGGAGGAGGAGGAGGAGGAGGAGGAGGAGGAGGAGGAGGACGATTTTGCGCTCCTGTCGAGCGGCCTGGGCCTTAGCGGCCTCCAGTGCCCCGCCAGCTAGGCTGCCCCGTGCGGGTCCGGAGGCCCCTGATAACGGAGGAACTCGCACGAGGCGGAACTCGCATCCCCTGCCTCGAATGCCACCCCCCCGCGTGGGGCCCCACACCCGAAGAAGGAAAGGGACCGCCCCGACGACGACGGCGGCAGCGACGGCGACGGCGACGGCGACGGCGACGAC